AGGGGTCAAATGTGTAAAATCTTCAAACAGCTTCTTCTCAATAACCAAAAAAACCCAGGGTACTGATATTGGGCCTGTAGCATGCTGGGATGAAGGGCTACCAAGTTTGTTCAAATGAATGACCTTGACCAACTTTCAAAGGTCAAAGGGGTCAAATGTCATAAAATCTTCAAACGACTTCTTCTCAATAACCAAAAGGCCCAGGGTACTGATATTGGGCCTGTAGCATGCTGGGATGAAGGACTATCAAGTTTGTTCAACTGAATGACCTTGACCAACTTTCAAGGTCACAGGGGTCAAATGTCGTAAAATCTTCAAGCGACTTCTTCTCAATAACCAAAAGGGCCAGGGTACTGAAATTGGGCCTGTAGCATGCTGGGATGAAGGATTACCATGTTAGTTCAAATGAATGACCTTGATCCACTTTCAACCTAATGTCCTTGTTCGACAATCAAGGTCAGAGGTGTCATATGTTTAAATCTTTTAATAGGTTCTTATGAAATCTTAAGATTACAAGTGTTAGATTAATAACAGGTGAGCGATGCAGGCCCATTGGTCCTCTTGTTAATCTTGAAAAATGAAATGAAAATTATTGAAGTATTTTCCCGATTGATTAAAATCGCGAGATATTATTTTTTCGTGATTGGCAGTTTAACGACGATACTTATGGTGAATGTTAACAATGTAATGAAATAAAAAAAAATCATACCAATAGTTTGTTGATGCCTTGTGTACAGGATCCGGTACATTGGTTGTTCCTGTTGGCCTTCTCTTCAAAATGCATTCTCTGAAAATGTAAGCAAAATAAGGAATACTGACTTTAGGACCCCTGTCCCACTGCACTGCGTTATATGTTATATACAGTGACCTCCCTTTATTTAAACAATAACTGGTTGTCTGGATGTAATTATTGTTGATATAATTACAAGTGGCCTCTGGCAAATCCCATAACACCCGCTAGGGTTTTATGGTAGATTTGCCAGAGGCCACTTGCAATTATATCAACAATAATTACATCCAGACAACCAGGTATTTTTATATTTACATATTTTTCTTTTTTAAGTCATATTCCTACAAAAACCATTTGCCCTGCCTCAAAATACATTTCAGGCGGCCATTTTGTTTGTTTACATATTCCTACACCTGAAACAGGCAGTTGTAATTATAGTCGATCAGTTGTAATTATAGCCCATATAATTACACTTGCCCTCTAACACTGTTGTAATGGGACGGCGCGGGGGCAAATGTAAATATTTCGTTTTGGATATAACTGTAGCACAGTAAATTGATTCTATTTTTTAATGAAGATCCTCATGCCTAAATAACGTTTATGAACCAGGAAATTTGATTCTATGTACTGAAAATGCTTCCTATTCAATTGAAACGGATTTGAGTTATTAAGACTATTTGTCAAATATAGGCATTGACAATAATCCCATATCATTGTAGCATTATTGTTGACGTTTTATTGAACATCTATACTCTTAATACATAATTATTCAATAGAGTTCATCACTATCAACCGAAAATCTTATGAATATGTGGTTATTGTATCAATGTGCTGTTTATAACTATTAACTCAACATAACCTTACTGAACGTTAGTTGTCATGTACATACCTGCCTTACTGACATTGGGTTAGATAGATGTTACTGTCTCAAACGACCGAGGTAAAATAGGGTTTTTATCAGTTTTACTATAGTCGCTCGTTCATGTGGAAATGGGGATGAACCTAGTCGTCTGGTATTTTATGGCGAGCTTTGGCAAAAGGCCTAGACATACATAAGAGCATATAAATGTATACTGTTTGACCGATTTTAGTTTAAAAAATGTTACATTCAAAATCAGATGGGCCTGTCGTTCTGACTGACCCCTAAAGCCCGTAGCTAGCCCATTGTAGCGATTAAATGTCTATAATGGATATAATGTGATGCATTTAAAGAGTGATCCCTCTATGAAAACTGGAATGCGCGAAGAGATGGATGAATGGGAATGTATTTGAGTGTGTTTACTAATGGAAATGACAAAAAGTCTTTCTTGTGACGTGTGATATTTATAAAACGTATGTAAAATATAACACGCATTGTATTTATATATATATCTGTGCATGTGTACACATTTATAAATAAAAGAATGATCTAATTCTTATTGCTTGCAAAGTGTTATGATAGGACATAAATATGCGTCATATCTGAAATATTTGAAAGAAAGAAAAAAAATTAATACCAGTAAAACATTTCGGTTGCATGTTACAGTTATATGTGTATGTTTTAAAATGTTCCATACATATTACTGAAGTATATAAACTTATGCATTAATTTTCATTTCATTTCAGAATATTTTATCGTTCAGATCTTAGATACAAAGAGGAGTTGGGCAACAGGCAATGCCTATGAGTGCCCTCTCCTTACAGTTATAAACAGTTTACACACATATTGAATTGAAGTAATGATAAAACATGTATATTGTACATATATATATATTTGCATGTCATTATTAATATTTTGAAAATTGTTTTTACAAAAAAATGGCAATTACAATGATGCTGGTGGACAGCACATAGTACAATTATGGTATCATTCCACACAGCAAAGTCATGTGAAAATAGATAAACAAGTGTACTCTAGTAAAAGCGTCTAGTATCTTTAATGAATCTCTGAACCATGTCCAAAATACATATATATTCATATTGATATCGAGTTTTCGACATCCATAAAGAAAAGTCTGAGTATTTAAGGGAATAATTACATTAAGAGCATTGATTTTCATACATTTCATTTAATATCTTTATTGCCCTTTAAATAGTCTATCACAGCCCATAAACTTGCATAAAGTCTGTTCAAACGTCTCGTGTGTGTAAAAGAGGTGGGTAATAGATAATACGTATTGTATACATCATACTTAAAGGCATGTACTTAACATGGTAACAGCCCCCTCTTGTTACTATTTAATAGTGTAAGTGCACGACTTGAAAATATGAATGTAAAAATTTATTGATTTGTTGCGGACGTAGGATGTAACTTCACTGATTTACTCATAAGATAAAAACACCAATTAAGTAATGGAATACTTACCCCACCCTGTGAAGCGGATACTATCCTGTGTATAGCGTCGATACGTGTTAACATATGTATCAAAATACCTTAAATAACTAAGCGTTCAGTATATTTCTATCCTACGGCAATACATTATATCATCTGAATAAGGTGTTGTTTTTTTTCCATATATAGTGTTATTAATATAATTTATTTAAAGGAATATGTAATGGATTTTTCTTAAAACTTCAATTGCATCCGAAACACGGTTTACAAAAATAATCAGTTATGTTCTAAGTGGCCAAAGTAAACGCTAAACAATTATAAATAAGATTAAACTGAAATGCAAACTCAACAAAGATAAACCCGGGCAAAATATGAATAAAGGAAATATATTTATGGCGACCTTCGAAAATGTAGTAGGGAACAACACTAGGTGTGTTGGATGGGTAAGCATGTTCTGCCTCATCGACGACACCTACCATGTAAACTTAGCATAAAACTGCATCATCAACAAATGCAGAGACAACAAGCAGGTAAAAAAGTTAATGGCAAAGTCAGAACTAAGAAAACAACATGAAATAAGGAGGCACTTAAACGAAAGCAAAGACAACAACAGAAACTGATGACACTCCAAAAACAACAGGAACTGATGACACACTCAAAAAATAACAGGAACTGATGACACACTCAAAAAACAACAGGAACTGATGACACACTACAACTAAAGCATAGACAAACAGGAACAGAAGGAAAGGGAACTGAGAAGACACTAAAACAAAAACAAAAGACATCACGACAACCAAAAACAACTCGGCGGTGATATAAGTTGCTTTAAAGTGGCGATTTACGTGGTAGCAATACTGCCATTATGCTTGTTTAATATTTTAACACTTTGGTAGTTATTAAAGAAATAGTCAACATATGCGCGTGTATTATGATAATCTACATATAGAGGATGAAGAGAAGAATTATGTAAACATTATGTGACGAATGCCTCAGATATATATCCCATCGTAATATACAAACAGTTATTAATTAATCTATTCCACCTCATAAAATCACTTCATGTTGTGTGACGTCACAACATTTTATGGGGTTGTACTTAAATCATAACGTCTCGACTTAAACGAATTTTATTTCGAGAAGCCACATTTACATCCGGTGATCTTCGAGGTGTATAGAACATATATGTGTCGAGCTGAACTCTTGTATTTCGACGATGGCATTTGGTGTAAAAAAGACTTGTACGTTTTGGCACAAGCTATATATCTAATTCGTGAAAAGTGTTTAATAATGTGTATCTAATGTTGTGAGATTACAATAAATATAACCAACCCACTGTAACTTTATGATTAGGCTTGATAATAAACTCTTTGTATTAGATATAAATCATAACCAATATTCACTCCTTGTATGTCTTTTATGTTGACAATGGTTGTGGATATTGTTTTTATAAAACAGCCTTCCTCCCAGGTATGCACAAATAGTATTACGTAGTAACACATTAGCTCAGACAACTGAAATATGCTCACTTAAATGATTCCAAAGGCAGAAGGTACACGTGCAAAAAGTTATCGTTGATGGTTTATCTTTCAGATAGTTACGTTGTGATGTTACCTCTGTTTATGTTTGTCGAACCTAATGACTGACTTCGGTTTAGTTTCCTTATTTGGTAATGACTAATTCTCTTCTGATAAAATATTCATTGTAGTTAGGTGTTTTAACGACGGTAATCAATCGGAAAGAAGATGATATTATCGACCTATAAGTTCCAGGGTGACTGGTGAACCAATGCAAAGACAGCATTCTCAGACATATTATAACTGTAATCCAGACACATTATTTAACTGTATAAGCAAAGTTTTCCGGTAAACGAAGTCAATTTTGAAAATGTAATCTTTATGTGTATATACTAATATATAAATAAAACAAAACACAAAGACTATAATCTAAGTATTCGTCCGTATCACGTGTATTGTATAGCGATAAATAGTAATTAAATATCCATGTGATGGTAAAAATATAAATATAACAAAACACGAAGACTCCTTTAACCTGTATCAGCCGTCACGATCACTGCTTTATATATATACTATTTATCGCTATACTAATATAGATATCATTCTATTATGCTATTTTATTGGAAATCAAGAATATTTTTGATCATTTCATGACTTTGGTTTTCGTCTGATAAATTAACACAAATCTTATTCTTCATGATAATCATGATCCATCATCATCATCATCATCATCATCATCTTCATTTAAGCTGGGAATTTTTTTTATCGGTGACAGGGTAGCGAAAATAGAAGTTTGCAGTGATAGGAAACAAGGTTTGATGAAGTAGAACTCATGTTGTTTTAATGTATGCTAGTATGAAAGGGCTGTTAAGATAAGTTCAGCGTAGCTCTCCAAATGACACATTTGTGAAAACGAATGTTTGAAAATGGGCTCTAAGATGTTTATTGAATCCATTCTGTTATAGCTCAGGGTACATAAATGCTATATACATTAACAATTGAGAAAATGGTGTTATAAGAAGCATTCTACCACATACCAATATGTCATCAATGTTCAATAACATGAATTACCAGTAATCAGTACTGACTTCTAATAAAAGTAAAGAAAAACTTACCTCTCTCACTGGTCCGGTGTCAGCCATCTTCGCTGTCCACCTCCTTCAGTGGTTGTAGTATGAATAGCAGGCTCCACACAAATCACGCCTTACTATGCTATTTATATATAGATTTGTGGATTTTCCATATGTCATACCATCTCCACCCAGGTATAGGTAGATACAGCATTGTGTTCTTTCTTCGTTAACGACATTCTGACTTAAATCTCTGCCTTCATTTCAAAAACACTTTATTCATGGTTCCCATATCATTTCAGAAATAAACGAGTCATGACATATTTTAGCCTATAAGGTAATACATTTGACGTGGCAGAAATTAAAAAGAGACGCTTACATTTTATTTATGTATACTTAATTGTCGATTTAAGGGAATCCGTTCAAGCGTATCCACAGTTACAGCTGACGGTGCATCACATTTTACTACTCAATTGATACACTGGCGTCTTCAAAATCATGCATGATCTTTTCTTATTACCTTCTTTTCTATTGACTGACTGTTCAAAATGTATTTTGTTTTTCTTTTTCATAGCATAAACGTTTCGTTAATTTATCTGTTGCCATTGAAGAAATGAAATATGGGTGTGTAATGGTACAAATAAGCTATCGCCTACCTGCCTCAGGGATGTATCTTAATTAAATAGTTCACATTTCATGGACGATAACACATGATCAGTTGTAGTATATGAGAGAAAAACGGACGCAAGTCAAAATCGAGTTCCGCTGAACAGTGAATGTTCGGATATACAGATCCGCTCACTTTAGATGAATCAGACTTCGTCGCGACGTGATCAGTCACCGTAGGCTGTAATTCTGTATCAGCAGCTACCAGTGCGCTATAAACTAGCACACTTTAATGCTGGGCCTATTTTTCGTTGAGTTTTGATGCTGGTAATATTTTCGTTGTTTTTTGTGCTGAATATATGTTCCTTGTGTTTTGATACGGGCATATTTTTCTTCTGTTTTGATCGGGGTTTATATTTTTACCTTTTTATGCTGGGTATACATTTCCTTGTGTTTTGATGCGGGGTATAACTTTTCCTTGTGTTTTGATGCCGGTTATAGTTTTCCTTGTGTTTTAATGCTTGGTATATTGTTCCTTGTGTTTTAATGCTGGGTATATTTTTCCCTGTGTTCTAATGCTGGGTATATTTTTCCTTGTGTTTTAATGCTGGGTATATTTTTCCTTGTGTTTTCATGCTGGGTATATTTTTCCTATGGTTTTAATGCTGGGTATATATTTTTCCTTAATTGTGTTTTAATGCTTGGCATATGCTCCTTGTGTTTTGATGCTGGGTATATCTTTTTCTTGTGCTTTGACGCATGGTAAATTTTCCTTGTGTTTTGATGCTGGATATAGTTTTCATTGTGTTTTGATGCGGGGTATATTGTCCTTGTGTTTTGATGATGAGTATAACGTTTTCTTGTGCGTTGACGCATGGTTTTTACCTGGGTATATTTCCCCTTGTGTTTTGATGCTGGGTAAAGCTTCCCGTGTGCATTTATGTGGGGTATGTGTTTCGCTGTGTTTTGATGCTGGATATATTTTCCTTGTGTTTAAATGCTGGGTATATTTTTCCTTGTGATTTGATGCTAGGAATACTTTGCCTTGTGTTTATTTTGTGATTGTGTGTTGACAAGGTGGTAATGTTTTTTAATTGTGTCGTTTCATGTTAAGGTTGTGGTTTATTTTGTCGTTTGGTGTTAACGAATAGTAATTGTTTACATCTCTTAATTTTTTGTCGGTATATTATTTTGATTTTATTTTCAAATGAATGAAATAAACTACCGAAACTCTGAACAAAATATTCGCATGAAGCAACTATGTTTACAGAAATGGTGTCATATGTCAATGCGTAGAAACCCTGGGGATTGTGTTTATTATTTGTACAATCTAAAGAAAATATTTATCTGAAATAAATATCCGGGTGTATTTTGGAAATTCTGTATTAAATATAAAAGGTGTTCCGTTTAGTATAAAGGTGTGCTTGTTATGACAACTAAGGCTTGTTTTAGCCTGAATTACAGTGTATATTAATATCGACGATAATGTATCAACTTACATTGGATAAATGGTCAAATTCAAAGGCACGTAAGTACAGAATAAAGATATTGGTTTATTCTATTTTCACCTAGATTAAGGATTATACGTCACTTTGCAACCCATTAGGATTAAGGAACGATAAAGACGCATGTATGAAAAAATAAAAGAATGAACAATGAATGAAAACAATTTTGAATTAATATTAAAAGTCAATAAATTGACTTACTCTCTTTCCCACATCCATGAAATTGCGATATTGGTATCTAAAATAAATTGAAGATAGACAGAAATTTCGGCTAAAGGATTTTAAAGAAGGTAGTATATTGTATATATACATATAATGTTCCCCAATCTATCAAAATAGGTATATGTAGGTTTATGTCCCGATTTTTAGAAGATAAATCTTCAAATATAAAAACCTGGTAATATGATTTATCATCTATAAACTACCTTATACCATCTACCGGTAGCATGATAAATTCATTATCATCGGTTGTCAGTATGAGAAGAAGTTGGCAACAACTTGAGAAGAACTTGAAAAAGGATTGTCCCATTCCACAGCACTTGGGAACGTATTTTCTCAACAAAAGAACGTCTGCTCGCGCCAGATGACGTCCGAAACCGGATATAGCTTCCACATAAAAAGTTATCCGCTTAAGAAAATAGTCCGTCATAAATACATCAATATAAAGTTACGGGAAAAAATTTGTGAGAATACCAACACCATGTCAGGTGTAGATGTGCATATAAAAAAGCCAATGACGATAGGATTGTTTTAAAAACATTTTTTCTACGTAGTTTTAAGATTCATTGTATGTTTACGTTTGTCACAGGCGATCGTTAACCATTTGGAAAACATGGTGTTAAGATGAGTTTTTAAAATGGAGAAATATATAAGGTAGTACTATAAAAAATAAAACAAAAGACAGAGATAGCGTTTGTTTATTTTTTTATATTTAATTCCAACACAAGGACTTCTCAATGTTTTCTATAAGGTAGATAAATAGTACATCAAACAGTATTTTCAGTGTTTGTCGTTCGAACAATGTTTGCATCGCTCGCAAGTAGATAAAATATCGAGTCCACCTTCGGTGGCCCCTCGATTTTATCCACGTGCTGGCAATGAGAAAATTGTTCTCACGACAAACTCTGACAATACCGTGTGAAAATCTATAAGTTTTTAATAGAGAATCTTTCACATAATATTTGTGTTTGCACTTCAAATTTGTAAATTCCAAATGTTTAAAAAACAGCTACTTAATCTGTTCAAAACAGCATCCACAGTATATTTTCACTTAATTGACGTCATAACTCACTGAGTAAGACCCATGAGGAAGTCCGACCACATACATCCTGATTGTTATATAATTCATTTAAAATCTATACGTAGAAGATATATATCTTGGCTATATCATGGGGGTGTGTTTTGGAAAGTCCACTGTTAACCATTAGTATTATGTTCAGTTGGTAGGTGTGGGTGTATGTAGGTATGTTAGAGTATTCAACTACTAGGTGATATTGATACCAACATGGATGTATTTACTTACATCCGAAAACGTTTCATACAAATATACAGAATGTAGATATTGTTCATTGGTGTTTTACATATATTCTGAGAAGAGTAATAAACAGTAAGACCCTAGATATCAATGACTGAACAAATGAATGAATGAATTCTGTTTAAATTCACACGAGAAAAAGGAAGGTGGAAGACATATTTCAATTCCATTTTACATGCACACGAGATAATAAGTACTTAAAATTGAGTTATATGTTTTACATTGTAACTAAAATATAAACACATAGATATTTGCCAAAGTATGAAATATGAAATATGGACACAATATACTTGTTTGCATACAGAAATGTGGGCCATACTTTCTAATTATATTTCCCCACGAAATGAAACCATCTAAAAAGTGAGAAGTTTGAACTGCACTGTTGATTTGTTTATATTGTAGGAAGAAAGTGATAAGTTATATTGTAGAGATAAAGTTAGGTACGTGCACCGTTGAACAGTTTACAGGGGGTTTGTTTTCATTAAAAGTAGACAGCAGTAAGCGGAAGCGGCAAAATCCGGAAATTTTGGAGGGGGTGTGATATCACTTTTCTAGGGGGTGTGCTATCACTTTCTAGGGGTTGTGATATAACTTTCAAGGGTGTGTGATATCACACACCCTTGAAATCAACTTGTGGAAATTCTAGACTTATTAAACATTCAAAAAAGGTGTTGTTATTATTAGTAAACATATGATGAACATATTTATCATATCTATCGTCGTGAAACATTTCAACGAACATAGCAACCTGAATGGTTGTCAGCATAGATACAGGACCAGAAGAAGTCAGTTCATTACACCCTGTCATGACTTGGTATGCAACACCGATGCCAGCCTGCAGACAGATATGATATTATTTTCCGGAATTTTTTCTAAAATAATCAACTTGGTGCTAAGCAAGGAGCCAAGTTGAGGAAGCTAGACTTCTATGACATACGGGGACAAACAAATTCCCCATCTCCTGTTTAACTTGTTATAAAATGGAACCCTCCGGACTAATAGTCTACATCTTATGTTTAACTTGTTGTAAATGGAAAACTCCGGACTAGTAGTCTACATCTTCTGTTTAACTT